AATTGTCAAAGTATTTTCAGAGTGTCGTGCACTAGATATCTAGGATTAATAATCGATAATAACTTGAGATGGAATCTACACGGGAGTAATATTGTGTCACGACTACGAACAGTGTCTTTCAAATTTTATAAATTAAGAAATTTTTTACCATTTCATACATTAAGAATAATTTATCTTGCCTTTTTTTTTTTTTTTATTTAATAAAACAAAAAACATTGTTATATCTACTACCTTTAAGCAGAGCTTGAGTTGGTAGTAGAGAGTTACATGTTACAACTTAGATTATATACATATATTAATTACTAATTACAGCAGCAATTTGATTAAATCGACATTCGACAATTAATTAAACATAAAAGAGGAAGTACAAAAGAATGAAATTAATAACACCATAATTACACATAATTGTACATACATAATATTTAGACATTCCTTAAAAGCTAGAGATTACATTTCTTGTAGAAGCCAATTGCAGATTATTGTTTTATGATTAGATTTGGGATTTGATCTTATAGTTTTCTTGATAGCGAAAGGCATTGCATTGAAGAAAGTTGGTCCTAAATAGTCAACGAATCTTTGTCCAATAGTTTTTTTAGTGTAATTATTTGAGATGTCATATGTTCTATTACGTTTTGAATATACAATATCATTTACAGGAGTATTTTTAATAAGAAACATGATCACCAATTTTTTGTAAATTAAATTAATAGGTAGAACGCCCAAGCATTTATAATTTAATTTAGTTGATCCTTCTAACGTGTTTTTGTCAAGGCATTTACGAACTATTTTGTTTTGCTGTATAGTTAAAGGCTTAATAGCATTTTCATATGTACCACCCCAGGCAATTATACCATATTGAAAAATAGCTTGGTAGAGAGACAGGTATACTATACGCATAGTATCTGGTGAGATTATTTTCCTCAAACAATATATTTTGTACATAATTGTCCTTAGGCGCATAGTCATACTGTTTATGTGGAGTTGCCATTTCATATTTTGGTCGAAGATTAGGCCTAGGTATCTTACCCTAGTTACCCTTTTTATTTTGCAACCATTATGGTTGCATGTATTATCTGTGATATCGATTTCATCAAATGGGCTTTGACAGGAGTAAATAGAAAAAGCTATAAATTCTGTTTTATCTAAATTTAAAGTATTTTTTTTTGTATTTAGTTTTCGAATAATTTGGTTTAGTCCAGTAGATGCTTTAGCTTAGACTGAGTCCCATGATGTATCAGAGTACAGTAAACATGTATCGTCTGCATATGTAAATATTGAATCATCCGTCTGCAAGTCACAAATGCTGTTTATATATATTATAAATAAAATTGGGCCTAAAACACTTCCTTGAGGAACCCCACAGTTAAATACAAGTTCTTTCCCCAAAACATCATTTACCATAACCATTTGCATTCTGTCCTTTAAGTAACTTGCAAACCAGCTTAGACTATTATTTTTTATTCCAAAATTTGGTAATGTTTTTAACAAGATTTTATGGTCGACAGTATCGAATGCTTTAGCGAAATCTAGGAAAATCCCTATAGTTTTATCACCACGATCCAGCCCTTTATATATATGCCTAGAAACACTATAGATTACATCCACAGTACCTACACCTGGCCTAAACCCAAATTGGTTCTTAGAGAGAAGATGATGTTTTTCCAGGAAACTCATTAATCTATATTTCACAATTTTTTCTAAAAGTTTAGAAAAATTGCATATCATTGAAATTGGCCTATAATTACTCATACTTTCTTTGTTTCCATTTTTGAAGAGTGGTTTGACTATCGCTAGTTTAAATTTCGTTGGAAAAATACCTTCTGATAAGCTCATGTTATATATATGTGCTAGAGGGCTAGATATAAAAACTGAAATGTTTTTTAGTAGTTTGACAGTTATTTTATCAAAGCCTGAGGCAGTATCATCTTTTAAACTGTTTATTAAGTCGATTATTTCATTGCTATCGACAGGAATTAGAAACGAGGCATCAAAAGATGTTTCATATGGTTTATTAGATTCTATCGGTTCAGTACTACAAAAGTTATCTTGCAATTTCTGTCCAATGGAAGTGAAAAATTCATTAAATGTATCAGCTGCTTTTTTTGGTTCTGTTTGTGCATTTATGATTAAATCATTGACTTTAAGATGTTTTATAGTTACTTTATTTTTCAAGTTACTCCCCCCTGTAATAATTTTTATTAATTTCCAAGTCAATTTGGGATTATTTGTACAAGAATTGAACTTATTTTTATAAAAGTTGTTTTTAGCTAACTTAACAATTGTATTAAATTTGTTTCTGTATTTTTTGTAGTAATTAAGTAGATTTTTATTAAGAGGATTATTTTTAGACTTAAGGGAAAGTTCATTTTTTTGACGTGAAGAACATAATAGCCCGGCAGTCATCCACTCTTTAAGTCTTTTATTTTTAGATACAATTTTTTTATTAATTGTGCATGCATTTATTATACAAAGTAAATTATCTTAGAACAGGTTAAGAGCCACATTTATATTGTTTTCATTGAGGACAGATTCCCATTTTTCGACTTTCATCCTATCGTTTAGGAGTTTGTAATCCATAAATTTAAATGTATCATTCGTAGAATATAAGTTATCATTGAGCGGAATTGCCGTGATTGTAGGAAAGTGATCAGATATATCGATTTGGAGAACACCTGCTTCAGTATTATCTAAAAGGTAATTGTTATTGCATTTGAGAAACATATTGTCTATACAAGAGTGTGTTTTATTATTAGGAAGTCTAGTGTACACATTAATCAGTGAATGAAAGCCATTATTAGCTAACATATCTAAGTATTCGTTATCTACATTGTCATTACCAATTATATTTACGTTCATACCACCTGCTAATAGTGTACGATCGTTAAACAAAGTATCTGATATAATAATATTATTTAGTCGAACCAAAAATTCATTGCTATTTAATGAGGGCGATCCATAAGTACATAACAAGTTAAAAGGAGCTTTACAGTAGTTACTGGTTAAGGATATTTTAAAAAATTGGCTTCTACAAAACCATACTCAAATGAGTCTACAATTGTTAAAGTATTTCTAATAAAGACTATTATGCCGTCATTTTGATTTCGTTTAATTTTTGTGTAACAAATTTGAAACCCAGGTATACTATATGAACAGTTATTAATGTCATGCCATGTTTCAGTTAAAATAATCACATCTAATTGCTTAAAATTAACATCATTCTCAAAAGATAACAAAAAATTATCAAAGTTTGCATTAGCACTTCTAATATTTATACAAATTACACTTAAAAACTTATTACTAGATACATCAAAGGTATTAGCGAACTCACTTATAGTTATATCAAGCAATATTACAATACGGCCTGTTGGTCTGGGGAGGTACAGCCAAAAACGCACTACAGCCACTAATAATACAACAAAGATTAATAATTAGGATCTGTCTGAGTAAGATAAGCCTAGAAGGATCAACAATAGAAAACTTTAAACTATACAATGTTCTATCACTAGAAAAACTTTACAAAAAAATAGCTATATTTTTCATAGTTAAAAATTATTATCAATAGGTGGACGTAGTTAACATTAATGAAAAAAGAAACAATAGAGCATACAATGCTAAGATACCTTATACTAAAAAATCTTTTGGGCAAAAATGTGTTAATTATCTTAGTCCCACATATTTCAACTCACTGCCAATTAATATTAAAATAAGTATATACGATAACTAAAGGAATCTTAAAAAGTAGAATCTCAAAAATTAATTTTCAACTGGTTAGAAACTCATTTAGACTAGTGTTTATCGTTTATGTATAATATAATTCATGTATTTGTTTATTTATTTATATTTTTATCAATTAATGTAATTGTTGTAATAATTGTATTAATTACTAGATTTTGTAACTCTCTACCATCATCACAAGCTTGCTTACAGGTGGTAGATAGATTCATCTTATTATTATATTATTGTAAATTTGTTCTTTTTGAGCTATGTATAATTTATTATAATAAATGAATTTTCTAAGAAAAAAAAAAAAAAAAAAAAAAACTGATCATCCTGCTGCAGAACTTTTTACTTTAAAAACTAAAGGTAACATTATGTTTCCCAATACCCATCTGTATAATTTTCTTAATACTGTTGAAGATTCATTCGCTAAACACTGTAATGATTTTGATGTTTTCTCAAAAGTTATTGATGATATAACTGAAGAAACGTTTGGAACAAATCTACTTTACCAACCCCCTCACGATTTTCAAAATTTTTTTTTCCCGGAAACTATTATTTTAGAAGTTATAGACTTCCAAAGTTTGCGATTTGACGTTTATGCGCATGCGCGCAACACTACTATAATGCCACGCGGAGGACTATTTTTGTTATTTTTTTGTACTTACGTATTCTAACCTGTTTAAAACGATGGTACAATAATAATTTATCCCTGACTTGCTGTGCAACACCTCCCCAAGTGGGTCACAGGGTTTAGAAAATATCATTTTTGTTGCACCGAGTCACCAATTTGAAAAAACATCGTACAGTGATGCGGTGCTAGCGGCACTCGTCGCTACGCTCCTCGGAACCGTCGCTCCGCTCCGCAAATCGAAAATATCCCTCGACTTGCTGTGCAACACCTCCCCAAGTGGGTCACAAGGTTAAGAAAATTGCATTTTTGGTACTAACCTAACCTTTTTTTTTTTTTTATTACGGTATCGCAGGGGGCCGGAAATACCTGGTGGGGCAATTCGCCAGCTCCCCTGCATCGTTTATTATGTACAATATATAATAATGTTACAATAACAATACAATTACATATTACAAATGTGGAGGGCCTCTAACCCTCCCGTGAAAATTGGCCTTCGGCCCACAAATAAAGAAATCTTAACTAGTTTGTTTAAATTACAGCGGCTTATTCACGCTGTCTCTCTCGTTCCTCCTTCTCTCTGGTGGACAGGATAGTGTGTACGAGTTTGGCCACTGCAGCCCAGTGGCTCCTTAATTTCAGCATCACTGTGATGGCGGTTTCTGCAGTGAATTCGACTGACAGTTCGGCTTCCAGCTCAGCCCATGCACGCCACCACCTGTCGCAATTGAATACCGCATGCTCGGCGTTGTCTAGAGGGTCATTGCAGTCGACACAGTGCGGCTGCTCTTACTTTCCGGATCCTGCAGAGGTAAAACCCGAAGCAACCATGACCGGAGAGAAATTGGGTCAAATGGAAATCGACCTAGCCGAATCCTCTCGAACACCATGTCGCCAAGTCGGGGATGAGTCTCTTCGTCCAGCTTCCGGGGTCATCCGCCTTCACTGCATCCCATCTCGCCTGCCATTTTGCGATAGTTACTTTTCTGATTTCTTCTTTGGTTGCAACAATTCGCCCCCCTCGCCTTGCTAGGAACTCGGTCTCACGTTCTCTAGCCAACAGGTCAGCTGGTGGAGTAGACGCCAGCATGTTCACCGCTGCACCTGAAACCGTATATCGGTTATATATGGCCTAGTTGCATGCGGCCGTTACTCTTGAGCGCAAAGTTACGGCTTCCGAATCGGCGTCGAGTCCGTCCTGGACGATGCCTTGGTCAAGCCACTCAGCAAGCAGCAGGCCACAGTGGAATGAGTCGCTGTCTATTCCGTCAGAGGTGTCCCAGTCACAGAAGTTATTGGAGGCAGCAGGGGAAGGGCTTTCTCTGTTTCGCGCTAGGGAGTAGCGGATATAGTGGTGGTCACTATAATTGAACACCGACTCCAGCACCCTCCAGTTATTTACTCGGCTTGCCAGGGACTCCGATGCGAAGGTAACATCTACAATTGATCCTGCGCCTCTGGGGAAGGTGGGGGTGGAGCCTTCGTTCAAGGTAACGAGGTTGAGGGACTCGACCAGCGAACTCAATTCGTGGCCTCTCCGGTTCTCGACCCAGTCGCCCCACGCGGCGGATCTGGCGTTCAAGTTCCCGGTGACTAATACGGGAACGCCTCGCTGGGTAGATCTGATACTGTCCCCGAGCCGCTGGAGCAGATCGCCGAAATCTTCGAGTGGCTGGTTGGGTGAGGCGTAACAGCAGTATACCTGCACGCCGTTGAGGCGAGCAGAGATAAATTCTGGATCGCGTATCACGTTAGCAATTGTCACTCCGTTGTTCGCGATTTAGATTGCAGCCCTGCTTGTTCCTACGCTGGCGAGCCAGGATGTTGAGTGGACATCTGCTCTGTAAGGGACGCTTATGAGCGCGACGTCGATCTTTTCCTCAACCATGTATTGTGCTATCGGGTCTTGAGCAGCACTACAGTGGTTGAGGTTGCTTTGAATGAAGCTTAGCTCCATCATTTGGGAATAGTTGAATTCACAACCGGCGGTTCATCCGACGGCTTCCCCTCCCCGTGGTTCGGCGCTGGGGACTGAGACTCCTTATCCTTTGCAGGCTGCTTCTTGCTCTTCTGGCAATCACTAGCAAGGTGATCTTCACCTTGGCACCTGTGGCAGCGTCGCGCCTTCGGCTCATTACGACATTCAGCAGCAAGATGGCCTTTCTGCTGGCAGCTAAAGCAGGTGGGTTGGCTTTTATCCAATAGCTTGACCCTGCACTTCGTCCACCCTACGATGACTGCCTTGCTCTCTGCCAGCGTGAGGGCGTCCTTGAGAGGCAGGTTCAGACTAGCCACGAGTTCAGCTCGGCCGCCGGTATTCCTCCAGATTTTAACGTCATCGGCTACGACGTCAGGAATTCCTGAGCGCGCAAGTACGTCAGCCACCTCATCAGCCTCGGCCCACTCCTGGATGCCAAGTAACAGGACAGGGGTCCGGGGTACCGGGAGCCTAACCCTGGCTGAATCACCGGACACTGCCCGGATCTTATCAGCTAGGAGATCGGCTTTGTCAGCCCCTTCAACTTCGAGTAGGATGCCACCGGTCCTAGTTTTTCTCGTGGTAACCTAACCTAACCTAACCTAACCTTTTTTTTTTTTTTTTTTTTTTTTCGTCTGAATCGCCGACCGGGAGGGAACCGCGTGAGCATTTCTTCCTCCCAGCAGCATCGTTTATTGAACAATCACATCACAAAAATAATACAAATTTTAAATTACATAAAATGGGGGCTTCTAACCACCCTAGAGGGGCCTTCGGCCAACAAAATGTAACTTAACTAATGTTTTTTTTTATTCTTCCTGCTGTCACAAGCTTCGCCACCCGAAATGTGGTCGATCTTGAAACCATTGTCTCTACATAGTGGGCATGGAGGAGTCTTGTTGCACCTCACTGCGATATGCCCATCTTCTCCGCATCTCATGCACGTCTTCCTGCAATCTGGACCAGTGTAGTTCGCAGCATAGTGTCCAAATCCTTGACATCTGTAGCACCGACTGGAGCGCTCCTTAAGGCTAGACTCGGACACGGTGCTGTAGCAGCATGCGACCCGCAACATCACTCTTCTGTATGCTGATTCTTATTGATATTGCTGGATATTGCTCTCACCGTCATTGAAGGATACCCGAAGGGAGCACCGTACAGCAGACGAGACGTTACCACAGTTGCTAGTACCCTTCTCGTTTTTTGCCCCGCTCCTCTGAGGTTCGGCAATATCTGTATTAGCTGCCGACAGGCGTCGCCAGCCCTCGCTGCAGCGTAATCGCCGTGCTCCCTGAAATGAAGCCTGGAGTCAAGCAGTACTCCGAGGTATTTAACATACTTCACCGACTCAAATCTAAGGGGGCCGCATCTGACTGATGCTGATCATGCTGTTCCATTTGTTCCGGTTGGTGAGCATAATCGCCTCGGTTTTTTCGATCGCCAGTTCTAGTCCATTGGCCGTCATCCAATCAATGACGGTCTGGAGCCCCTCTTCCAGTCTCTCCTCGAGCAGGAATGGCACCGATGCGGTTGCTACCAGCGCAACGTCATCGGCGAAAGCGATGATTTCGACATCCGTCGGTAGCTCGATCCTCAACAGGTCATCGTACAGCACATTCCATAAATCGGGCCCTATAACAGAACCTTGTGGCACCCCGCACGTTACCGCTATAACTTTTTCGCCTCCTTCCCCGGTGACCAGGATCTTCCTGTTATGATATTCCGCAGGTAACTCGGTGTCCTCTTCCGTTCCAGCGAACTAAGGATACCTGCCCAGGGTGCGCTGTTGAATGCATTCTTAACGTCGAGGGTGAGCATTCCTACGAATAGGTTGTATGCATGCCCTCTGCCGTTAGCGTCCTGGAATATCCTCCTCACCCTGCTCATGGCATCTATCGTAGACCTGCCTCGCTTAAACCCATATTGGTTATCGGTGGTGTTGCCGGTAGTAATTAGGTGCTCTCGGAGCCTCGCCGTTAATAACTTTTCAAACAATTTCCCTGCTGAGTCGATCATACAAAGCGGACGGTACGCCGATGGGTTTTCCAGCGGTTTCCCCGGCTTGCGGAGGAGAACTAGTTTCGCGGTTTTCCATCTTTCGGGATAAACTGCTGCTCTAATACAATTGTTGTACAAGTCAGAAAAGTATTTGGGGTGCAAGCCTACTGCCACCTTTAGCACCTCATTCGGTATACCGTCCGGGCCAGGCGCTTTCCCGTTTGGTAGTGACTTTGCCGCCGACGCAACCTCGCTCGGAGAGATGTACGCCGCATCGAGTTCCTCCTGGCTGACTGGTACGATCTCATTTGTACCCACAGGTCTACTGGGGAACAGGGTGCCAACAATTGAGTCTAGACGGCCAGGCAAGTTAAGTCCCGGAATCGGTTTCCTGGTGCTTAGTTTTTTCATAACAATTTTATACGGATTGCCCCATGGATCCTTATCCACCAATTCGCAGATCCGTCTCCAGTTCTCGTCTTTCGCCGCCTGGATCATGGCAGACAGGGCTTTCCTTTCGCTTTTGAATGTTTCGCGTTCGGCGGCGTAGCCGGAAGTATTCGTTCTTTTCCTCATGCGAGTATAAGCCCTTCGCGCTTTTAAACACTTCTTCCTTTGTTCAGCTATTTCGGGGTTCCACCACGGCACTGGACGGCGATTGTTATTACCTGATTTAGGCATGCTGACGTCGCACGCTTTCGTCAGCCAATCAATTGCTTTGTCGCATGCTGTCTCTGCGCTCAGGTTGACCTCATTGACACCAGATTTCAGCGACTCCTCTAGCTTAGCGCGGTTCAGCTTTCTAATCGCCCATCCCCTTCTGGCCTGCTGGAGGTCCCGAGTCCGTTTCTTGCCGATGGAGTATTCAATATACCGATGGAGGCTGAGGGACTCCTCATCGATCACCTTCCAGTCGGTTACTTGGTACGCCACGGCCCGCGTAGCAAAGGTCAGATCGATGTGCGACTCTGAGGCTCCTCGGACGAACGTCGGTTCATTGCCTTGGTTGCAGGTGACCAGTCCCAGGGATGCAACGAGGTCTGCCAACGCTTTACCTCGCTTATCCTCCAATGGACTGCCCCACTCCTGGGATTTCAAATTAAAATCGCCGGCGACGATAACAGGGCATTTGGCTTCTCGTACGCTTGTTTCTAGCCTGTTCAGGAATGCCTCAAAGTCTGTAAAAGGTACGTTTGGGGAACAGTAGCAGCTATAAATACGACACCCGTTCACCTCGGCCCACCTAATGCCTTGCAGGCGTGGTCCGATAGCACCTACTTGGAGGTGCCCTAGGATTGCGATCGCAGACCGTCCGCCCGCGTCCGCGTACCAGCAATCTCCTTCATCCTATATTGTTCGCTAATGATCAGTACATCAGCCATCTTTACATTCGCCGTCACCAGTGCCAGGTCCTGGGCGGCTCTGCAGACACCGACATTAATCTGTATAATACGGGTCATTGTGTGTCATCCTGCGTCGCTCCTGACACATTGGCCGTATCACGCTTGGAGTCATTGTCTGACCTAACCCGTACGTCAGCATCAACAGCCTTAGCGAAAGCTAATGCCACCGACGCATCAGCGCTGCAACCTGCTGCTCTGTGTCCAGTTGCGCCACACCGCCGGCAACATTCCGTCCTGTCAGGACCAGTGCATGACTTGGACATGTGTCCGAAACCGAGACAGCGGAAACATCGCACTTTAGGATCAGCTGGCCTGACCCTACAGCTCACCATACCGACCCTCAGTCGGCCAGACTCGATCAGCTTTTTGGATTCCCTTAGAGGAATAGACACCAGTGCCATCTGTGCACCGCCAAACCTCTTCCTGAGGCTGACTACTCTTACATCCTCCTTGCCTAACCTGGTAGCATTTGCCACTGCGTCCAACACCTCCGCGGAACTGGTCCACTGGTCGAGGTCCCTCACCTCAACCAGTGCTTTCTGCTGGAGGGATCTCACGTCTACCTCAGGCCCTGCAGATCTGGCTACTTCTGCACGAACTGCCTCGATTTGTGACTGGTCGCCGCGAACTTCAATAAGGAGGCCGCCGGACCTCGACTGTCTCATTCCAACCACGCTATCTCCTATAACCGTCTGATTTACACCACCGCGA